GCCCCAGCCCTGCCCGCAGTGGGCTTACGGCAACTGGGGAGAGGTGAGCGCGGCCTGAGCCCCTTCTCCTGGCACCGGGGGGAAATCGATGGTGAGGGGCTGAAAAATGGGAGAAAAGGGGACAGGGAATTTGGGTGATGCTCCTTGGAAAGACTGCAGCAGCTTTTACTGAATGAGGGAACCCTAGCAATGACTTGATGGTGGTTCTGGTTCTGTTTATCATGGGGGAAAAAGTTATTTCTGGGCAAAAGAAAATTCTACAAAAGTTTATTTTAAAAGAAGTCTATTTTAACTGAAGGCCTTTTTATTAAAAACACCTCTCCCTTCAGAAAAGTTATCAGAGAGGTTACAGACAGTAACCTCTGATGTTGTGCTGGGCTGGCCAATATTGCTGTCAAGCAGTACCAGTAACTGGGAAGTGATGAACAGGAGTGGCGGGTGGGATGTCGGAGGCGCACGGGCTGTTTGGGGGGGACCTGTCTGGTCTGCAGGGGGCTAAAACCAGTGGGTCTGCTGAAGTGCTAGTGCACAGAGCTGCCAGTAGGCAGTTATTTAGCTGTCCAAGTTGTAATTCTGGTGTCCTGTGCCAACCTGCAGTGCACAAAGCCATGCGGGGCCGGGACGAGAACGCGGCTCGTGGTGTGTCAGCGCCCGAATGGGGAGAGGTTTACGGATCTGAGCTGTGAGATCCTCGACAAGCCACCGGACAGAGAGCAGTGCAATGTGCAGGACTGTCCTAGAGATGCTGCCTGGAGCGCTGGTCCTTGGAGCTCGGTACGGCCATAAACTCTTTCTCTTTGTGAACCGTTTTTGGATGTTCCATAACAACCGATTTTTAACTTGCTTCAAAACGAGGTGCTAATGCTTCATGTCTTAAAAACTGCACTTAAAGAGGATTCTTGACAATGTGTTCAGAATAACGCCTGTTCAGGAAGGGCTTTACGTAAGGGGAGCTCCAGTCCTTTAATTTAAAAGGCGCTTTCTGCTACGTAACCAACTTTGGCCGCGTTACGACACTGTGCAAGCACTGTGCGTTACGACTCTGGCTCCGACTGAGTTCTTTGCATATGGATCTAAAGCTGGCATTTAAGCAGTACCTGTCAACTGAAGTTAAGGCGTACCAATACTTAATGGTAATGCTGCACTGCACGCCTACTGGTTTACATGCATGTCTTTTCCAAAAAACAAGGTGACGGGGGAAATTTGTAGTAAATTGCATTAACTCACAAGCATGTACAAATATGTATAGGGGTGAGGGTGTGTTCCCACCCAGACATTTATATAGAAATACATGCCCGTGGACATCCGTGCTGTATTTCTATTCCCGTGTAAAACACAAGGGGATTGTACCATGCAGAGGCACTGGTGAGCCGTTTTCATGCATTTCTTCGGTTCTGGACTGTTTGTGTCTGACTTGATCTCCAGCTGCTGCTTTAGACATCATCAAATCAGCAAGGGATCAGCAGGGTGTAGGAAGACTTAAAACCGTGAACGTTTTCCCATCGGGGAGCAGGGATACGGTGCTGCTGTCAGGCCGGGAATGGGAGATCCAGGCTGGGGTGTTGCACCCCGTGGCTCTGACTTGCTCCTTGGATGGGATGTGCTGTTTTTGAAGTGGCCTTCAAGTAAATGTTGAGCTTGAGTGTATATTTTGTTATAAAGTAGTTAAAGGAGATTTTTAAAAAAAAAAGAAAAAAAAAAGAATTTGACTCAAAAGCACTTTATGAGTACTGATGAAAAGAGGCCTATTTGTAATATATTGGACTTAAAAGTTTTGGTTGGAGGAGTCATCTCGCTAGCCTGCAACTTCCCTCTAGTTTCTGTGGATGCTTTTGGTAACATTTCTCCAGATTTTCATCATACCTCAGCCATAAAACTGCTGAAACTAGTGTTCACACGGTGCTTCACCAGGACAAGGGACAGTGATGTGACATATTTCATTCGAGGTGCTAACGTATCACTTGCATGCTGATAGCTGGTGCTAAAAACGAGTGAGCTGAGCTAAGCAGAACTAGCAAGCCGTGCAGTTGCTTTCGTCCCAGAGTTACCAACCAAAAGTTGCTGCTCTCCCTTATTACTGATGCTGGAACACGTGCGAGAAGCAAAGGCCTGGGCCGAGGTACGTTGCGTTTTGGTGTCCCGCAGCCGTCGGCATCTCCCCTGCCACCAAAGCCACCAAAGCAGCCACTGGGGCTGGTATCTACGGGGTCAATAGGGGAGCGGGGCTTCACGTCCCTCCTACAAAATACACTGCGTATACGTCTACCTCGTGCTACTACTGTAGGTAGTAAAGCCCAATTTTTTTGTTTTTCTTTTTTCTATTTTTCTTTTTTAACCGTGGTATCACCTGATTTGCTTTAGCTCTGCCCTTGACTGCAAACATTGCTCTGTAGCTCTCCGTACTTCATCAGTTCAGATGGAGTGTCACTACCATATTTTTTTTGGTCACTTTTGAAACAAGAGTATAGTATTAGCTGAAACTTTTCAGCAGTATGGATTTATATATTTATGTAAAAGTGTATTTATTTTTCCAATATTGTTATTTAATTTTATATAAATATTGCCTACATTTACAATGTTTAATGTTAATGTTGAAGAGCGAAAATTAAAGACGAGTAGAATGTAATCATAAAGGAAGTTGTATAATGATTTCTTGTCTCTTTTGGTATCCTTAGTTCTGCTAATTTTGACTCAAGTTTCTGCAATGGTGCTGCAATGTTCCATCTTTTGATTCGCTTTTATTTGCTTTGTTCTCCAATAGAAACTGTCTTTCTCGGCAATTAAACAAATGCAGTTAAAAGTGTATGGATTGTGAAGTTTGGTTAACTAATTTCTTGCAAGCATCTGATTGGCTCAGCTTCACACAAGTTTGGTGGAAATTAATACCGTAAAATACATACAAATTATAGCACAGGGAGTCCAACACTCAGTCCTTAGGCAAAATTCCCCTGCAATTTGATACAGTAAACAAGTGGTTTTATCTGACTGGTTTTATCTGGGTTTTAAAGAGAGAATTAAAGGAATGAACAGGTTCTGAGTGTAAATGATAATCTCATAACAGGAGACTGGTGAGATGCATTGTCATTATAATGTATGTTCAAAGAGGACTAAAAGAAGGCGATACCTTTTATTTCCTTGCTTCTTTAAGAACATGTATTTAAACACTGGAGAATTGTAAGCCACGTGATCGACCTTAGCTGTTTTTTTTTTTAATTAAAATATTGCTTTAGAAAACATGCAGAGAGTGTCACTGGGGTACAGAGAGTGTTTTTTCTTCTCTGAGTGCCTTGCAATGTGAACAGGCAAAGACACATTTACAGACTCTGAAATAACAAAAGGAAATTGCGCCGCGTTTTTGAGGGGGAGGGAAATGGCCACCAAGGGTAAATCCACTCCTTACAGTAGTCTGCACAAAATTGTGTTTGTATTAAGTTAATGGCAGAGAAATTTTCACGGCCTTTGAGGAAAAACTGTCCCCTCTGCTTGAGAGTTCTCCCTGAAACCAGGTGGTGTTTCTTCTGGATCGCAGATATGAGGAAAGGAGCTGGAATGTTGTAGGGCATCTCCTCCCCTTCCAGTATATATATATATATATATACATCATTTAAGCTAATGGGATCTGCTGTAGCTGAGACATGGATCTCTAGGCGGGTGACCTGGCCTTTGCAACCCACGCTTGCTGCTGTGTGATTCCTAGACATGTTTTTATCAGGAATGTGTCAGTTCTAACAGCTGGGTGTTTATGTCTGGAAATCAAATTGTTAGTTCTAAGTGTAAAGAAAGAAAGAAAACAGCTTGAGAATAAGTCTGTATTTTTTTTAAGAGAAATAATGGTGGTATAGGGTTTACCACAACATATGGCTGTATCCTGCTACAATGAATAACTTGTGGGTTTCTTGTGCTTTCCTAATGGAAAAATATATACAGCTAACGTAAAGCAGTTGTATCTCACAGGAGTGTCCTGGTTTGGTTGGGTGAGTCGTTTGGATTTCATTGCATCGGGTTAGTAATCATTTGAGTTTGACCTGTGGACAGTATTAGGTTGGTTTGTTAGATTCTAATTTTAAAAATAATCTCTACTGTGCTTTGCTGAATACTTACTACTCCTTGGTATCAAGCTTATCAATTTTAGCAATAAATCAAATAAGCAGAAATGCCAATATCTTATTCACTGAGGGCTTTTTGATCTAACAGCAGAGAAATGGAAGCCTGAGGTAAAAACATTGGAATATTAGTTTGCTAAACTGCAAGCTGTATCTTATGGATGTTGGTGTGAATTCAGTTTTGGTTTCGGATGGTGATGCTGTACCCCATTAGCCAGAGCTGGAAGGTGATAGGGTCGGTAGCCAAGGTCCTTGCCAGGCTCTCGGCTGGCCCTGTTGGTGCAGGGACACAGATAACGGCAATGTCACTCCAGGGACAAGGTAGGAATCGTGCTGGCGCTCAGGAATCGCCGTCTCAAAATTCGTGTCGATGGGAAGTTCAGGTTTATTTGCACTTCATCCTCTCAACCTCCTGACCTATTGCTTGCAAAGTGCTCTCCCCCAAAACACACTGTTGTGTCTGTAGAGACTCCCGCAGCAGCGGGGGCCGTGGCAAAGCGGATGTAGAGCAAAATGAGAACTTTTGCCTACTTCTGCCTGTGTGAAAGCTGTCTCCCCGTCTGAGAGCTGTTTGGTCCCCTGGGTTTGCTGCCTGTTTTCTCTCCAGGATTAGTCGGAGCCAATGGCTCCAGGATCTGCCAGTTCGGCACGCTGATAAAATGCAGAGAACTTGTTGGCTGTAGTTCCCACATCAGGAAAAGGCCCGTGACAGCTCCGAGCGCTCTGCTTTTGTTTAAAGCAGAATCCCTTCGCTGCGTGTGTCACCGATCCCGACCGTGCCTGGAGGCCATTGCCCACGGCCCCCGAAACGCCGCGTCTCCCCATGTGCACCGTGACGCCAGCAGTCTGGCCGCCTGCCTTTTCTGCTTCTCCTTGTGTCCTTGGCACTCATCCCAAAGGCTAAATTTAGTCGGGGTTACTGCTTTCCATGGCTCGCTCCATTGGTCGGTCCATTGGGAGAGCAGGGACTGATGCTGTCCCCGCTGAGTTTCCTCATCCCATAGCACTGTGGCCACCTCTCCCGCTGGGGCTAGTGGCTCTAGCACAGTTACAGGGGAGTAAAAACAGTGGTGCTCAGGTACTCATGTGCCCTGCTCAAGAGCCACCCTGCTATTAGTTTGGAGCTGCTTTGGATTCAGAAAGCCCAGAGGAAAGCTGCTACATAGGCAGCAAAGTATCACTTCATCCTCTGCTGCTCCTGTGTAATCCCCAATTCCTGTTTTCATTTTTACTGTGTTTTCCTGTCATCACGAGGTCCTTCATTACTTCTGTTATTTCTCCTTAAATAAGGGGAACTATATATATTTTGCTCTCAGTTCTGCCATCTCCCATTTGCTACAATGTTAGATGGAGAAGTGGAAAGGACGGGGCAGGAGCATCCCCTCTAACCTCTCTAGTGCAAGGCTGGGTGCTGGGGAAGGGGATGGCCGGGATGTCCCATTGCTCCTGTTGGAGATGGAGCTGGCTGGAGCAGGGCTTGCCTTGGGAAGGTGCTTTTGTGTCCCTTGATACCTTTCTCCTCCCCCCCACCCCCAAATGATGCATCATTTCCAAAGCTCTTCAATGTATGTTCTCTGTCAGAGCATCATTATTCCTTGCTGTTTCTTACCCTCTTTTATATCCTATAGCATCCATCCTAATGTACTACAGGAGCACTTGCCTTCCTCCTGC